ATATCGATCCTTCACTATCGCAGTCGATTCTTCGTACATAAGGAGAGAGGATGAAGCATGAGCGATTCGCTCGGAGAGAAGTACCTTCTGGTATTTGTGAACAGCTGATGCTTTCCAGGAGTTTCCAGCAGTTTCCAATTGGTTCGAACATGTGTATGGTCAATCCGGTTTGATCAGTTCACTAATTCGTTTATTTAATTTCATTCAGATACTCATATGAATACTCGCAGTCTCGTCCGACTGGTGTGGTCTCGAGTGTCCTTGATCGATCAGACGATCAATTGACTGGCATTAATTGATCATTTAATTCCTGATTTAACAGAGAAGCGAACTATAATGTAGTCGGCATGCAGTGGTTTTGAATTTTGACGAATCAAAGATAATCTTCATTAATGAATTGTGTTTGACTAGCTGTAAAACGTGCGAAGAATGCCTCAGGGAAGACGGAAAATTCCGTTCAGCGGGAAAGCTAAGAAACAGCAAATGCAGGCTAAGAAGCAGCGACAACGAACCTTGCTTGGTATTTATCACGTGTGTTTATTAAAGAATTAATGAAATTAAGAATTTGATGCTGTGCAGTTTAATGTTATTTCTATGATTGCTATTTATAATTATTTTCTGTAAGAATTTGGAAAATTATTGCAAGAAATTAATAATACATATTTTGTTAACAGTAAATTCGGATGACGATGACGAAAGCTGCAGCAATGCGAGCAATGAGAGAAAAGTGTTGAAAATAAATGAACAACCAAAAGACAGTAAATCTTCAAGGAATAAATATGCATTACAATTCTTTCAAGAGTCCAATGAGAAATTACGAAAACGTAAAGAACAAGCCTACAAAAGTATTGAACCTGTGAGTCTTAAGGATCAAGAAATTTCTGATGATTACTTTCCACCTGGAATTGATATGCCAAAGCGGCCTCCATGGGATTTCAATATGACAAAGGAGCAATTGGAGATGAGGGAACAGAGATATTTCACAGTATGTAGTTGTAACTCAGTGTTAAACATGATTTTAGCTTATATGGAATATATTATTGATTACAATTCTTTGTACTTAGGAATACTTGAAAAGCATGGAAGAATTAGCTAGTTTGAGTTACTTTGAATTAAATTTAGAAACTTGGCGACAATTATGGAGAGTTTTAGAAATGTCAGACATTCTATTAATCATTGTTGATATTAGATATCCCGTTCTGATGTTTCCTCCATATTTATATGACTATATAACGAAAAAACTAAAAAAAGATATGATTTTGGTATTAAACAAAGTCGATCTAGCACCTCCAGCATTGGTGGTAGCTTGGAAGGAATATTTTCAAAGACAGTATCCACAATTACATATTTTAATGTTTACATCGTATCCTACTTACAATCTCCGGGATAATACAAATAACGAGGAGGGTGTAAAGAAAAGGCGTCGTAGAGGAAAATTGAAGATGGCTGCGGAAGGAGCACAAAAGTTGGTAGAGGCTTGTAAAGATATTGTTGGAGACAAAGTCGACTTAAGTTCCTGGTATGAAAAAATTCAGGAAGAGATGCACTTAGAATATGATCTAGATGATATAAATCACAAGGATAATGTAACAATAGAAAAGGAAGATACTACTTATTTTGAGCATGAAAAATATAAAAACGGAGTTTTGACTATTGGATGTATCGGAACACCGAATGTTGGAAAGTCCTCCTTAATGAATGCATTGATGGGTGAGCAAAATGATTTAAAAATATTAATAAAATTAATTGTATTATAATTAATTATTTTTAAAAATATTTATATATCATATTTAATCATTTGATTCTGAGTCAGACATGGAATTATATTGAAATTTATAAAATATCAATAAGATACAAATAAATCTTAACATTAAATAGTTTTATTTTATATTGCATATAATATATTGATATATAAATAAATGTTTCACAGGCAAGAAAGTTGTGAGCGTGTCTCGCACACCTGGCCACACTAAGCACTTTCAAACCATTTATCTCACAAAGACTGTGTGCTTGTGCGATTGTCCCGGTTTGGTCTTTCCCTCAACCGTGCCCAAAGAGTTACAAATACTAATGGGTTCGTTCCCAATTGCTCAAGTTAGGGAACCATATACTGTCATAAAATTTCTGGCCGAAAGACTGAATCTACCAAAACTGTTAAGGATTCCACATCCAGAGAACGATGACACATGGTCCGCCATGGATATCTGTGATGGCTGGGCTATCAAAAAAGATTTTAAGACAGCACGAGCAGCTAGATTGGACACATATAGAGCGGCAAATTCGCTACTACGAATGGCATTAGAAGGAAAGATTTGCTTGTACATATACCCATCGAATTGGACTCTCGATAAAAGTAATTATTATTTTACTATTTCTTATTAGATAGAATAATTTTTTTGTGATATTATTTAGCTAATGATATTTAAAATTGAATTCTTAAATCACACATAAAGGAATAAAAATATATAATACAAATATGAAATAGAAAAATAAGTTATATTTGGGATATAAAGAATATAAATATTTTTTAGAAAAATGGGAAAATCATGTGGATGTTGAGACAGTACGATGGATTCAAGCTAGAAATAAAGGGAATAATTCCAATACACCAAGTGAAAATATGTCTTCTGAAGATGAAGAGACTGATGATGAAAGACTGATGATGAAAGAATCTTCTGAAAGTGCAGCGAATGATAACTCGACAGAATCGTCAAATGAAGACAACGATGTACCGCTTGCAGCTAATAAATTTTCAGCGTTATCTACGGAATAATAAAATGTTTTATTGTTATGTTGCATATTTCTCAGATGTTTTATTTACCCTTTTTTTGTACACATATATATTTTTCTTAATATATAATGAGCAATGTCTGAAGAATAGTCGAATGATTTTTCTGTGTTTTCGCCCGCGAAACACAATCGTCGCTATGACACAAAATGTTTTATGAGTAAAAATAGATTATTTTATACAAGCCGCTATTTTCTATTGCTAATATTTTTCTCGATTTTCAAATTTTTTTAAGGTCACTGCGTGTAGGAATTATTTACAATGTAGTTCTAATTTGCAATTATTCTGATTACTTTGTTATTTTGGTCCACTATAAACTGATAAAGAATAAAGATTATTATTTTAACTATAAAAAGAAAACTACGTTATTCACAATCTAAGGATAAAATATTTCATGAAAATCATCTACAACGATATTTGTATGTAAGAAATAAGAAATAATTTCTAATGCTCTTTAATGCCTAATATGAAATCGTGCAAGATAAATGGCTCCTATTTTCTCGAAAAATATTTTCTTTTAATATTCTATACAAAGTATTTCTCAATTACATGATCTTTTATAAGTTGCTCAGAAACACCTTGTATATATTTTAAATCTACTTTTTAATTCTACTGAGATCCATTTACAAATTAATTTCTACTTATCACTATAAAAGAATTTTAATCTATACAAGCCAACATTAATAACAGGTTAAAGAAAATAATTCGGTAAAATACTAATTTATGTCGATTTTGTGCAACGTAACAATGTAGCATTACGACTATGTTTTTAAATCGTCAAATTGTCTTCTAAAACAACAATTATACATTGTGATAAACGGTATTTAAGCTCCCAAAATCTTTTTAACGGAGTATCCTGGTATTGCATAAAAGAATAAGAGCAGAAGTATGATCAATCCAATCGCAATTATGGCCTTCAAGATAGCCCATTTATAATTATGCCATACTATGTACTTGATAGATTTCAATGGATTGAGAAACCACATGAAAGATGCGTCTGGTCGGCTACAAATTAAAAATATGAAAATTAAAAGTAGATTAGATATAGATTAGATATAGATATAAAACTAATATTGATATAGGTATAAACTACATTGTTGTACTGACTTTGGTTTGTCTAATGGATCCGGCTCGTTTCTACCAAAACCAGCAGGATTTTTCTCTGCCTCCTCTTTTGTGAGTAAATGTATCTCAGCTTCGACTTTACCCTGTACAAAGTAATAAAATTTAATTAAAGTTTACAGTTTCCTGATTGAGTATAATTATAAAAAAAATATACTGCAATATGTATCATATAATATTATCTAATATGAATATAAATTTAATATACTCAATTAAAAATTTTATAAGACTGTTATTTTTGTAATATAAACATATAATCTATTACAAATATGTATAAAATGCTTAAACATGTTTAAATATATATTCATATCTTCAACTTACCGTCAGTTCCATATCTTCATTTTCTTTCTTTACATAGAACGGCCACCATCCCTTTATACGTTTCTGCTTGAAGATGTTAACTGTTGGCACAGATCCGTCTGTTTTTAGCATGCCTAATGAGCAAAGCTTACTATTTTTTGCTCCTCGAGGAAATCGATTGAGATCGAGAGTTATCGCGCCCAGAAAATCGTCTGCAGAGAAATGATCTGCATCCCAGACCTATAAAGAATATCATCTTTATCTATCGAAACGAAATCGAAAGTATCAAGTTGCATTACCTGTAGTTCTAGACGTGCCGGTATTTTACATTCGGTTTCGTCCCAACTAAATAAACTCTCTTTACGATTGATAACAATCTTCTCTTCCGCTACCAAATAATCAAATGGAAATATGAAACGCCAATTAAAGTTTCCTTCGCCGGTCAATGATCGATAATGAATATCGGTGGATTGACAATCCTCCGGTCCTTTTAACCATCTGTTAAACAATATCAAGAAATATGCAACCATATTTTGGAAGTAATATCTGAATCTTAGAATGCTATTTTAAATAAATATAAATTGACTACGTGTATCTATTACAGAATTAAAAAAAATTAATATTCATGAGAATCTGTTATTGTATATTTTTCTGTAAAATATACATATCATCTGAATATTTTTCAAAATATGCTTTTTTTATAAAATTTATTTTTTAATTTAAATTTAATTAAATTTATTTTGAAATTTTAGTTATATCTAGAATTATTGTTAAGTAAAATTTTTAACACGTTTTAATATATGTGATATTTTATTAAACTATCGTTAGGAGAATGTGAGTTGTAAAAAATAGTTTTAAAAAATATTTTATAATAATTACAGAAATAAAATTTATAGAAAATTCGTTTTTAATTATCAATAATAATTAAAATTAGAGTATTATTAAGTTATAGTTTAATTAATACTTAAATTGATTTTCTTATATTGATTTTCTTAAGTTAAAATTAATTTTCTTAATTACTTAGTTTATCCATCTATTTATCTATTTGTCTAATTATATGTAAAAATTGCATCAATGAAAGTTTTATTTTTTTCAAGGATCTTTATATTTACATACCCTTTTACGTATATATCACTCATTTTTTCGCCGGTGAAGAAGGCGTCATCTTCTAGGACGACATCGTCTGTATTCCATATGATTATTCTCAATTCATAACTTTTAGGTTTTCTCGGTGAAATGTCGATAGACGGTCCGGGTGAGGGCATATCCATTGGGAACATGTCCACCCACATTTCCAATTTTCCTTGTTCAATTCCAGGTTTTTCAGGATTATAGAGTGGTCGAGTCTCTACGTGTTCAGGTACCAGGGCACAACCTATTCGTGGAAAGGCATTCCACTGATGGAGAACAGCTAAAGCGAGATGTTCTTCCATTCCTAATGAAAAGTAATCATTTATACAATAATTATAATTATATCAACACATAGGCGGTGTAAATCATAAATAAATGATATACATATGTACAGTATATATTTAAATGTTAAAATATTGATTCCATTCTTGCGTTTTAATTTTTTTACATACCCTTTGTATGCACATAATATTCCATTTCCTCGTTTGAAAGTGTAAACGTTTTTCTACCGATTGTAACGCGTCCGTGAGAATACATTGGCCCATCAATTTTTCCATCTTTGCATAGCTTTGAGAGTATTTGAGTTGGTTTCATTGCATCTCTCCATTTATTATACCCAGATCTGGAACGGAAATAATGCCTAATCAATCTCGTGCATCGGAATTTACTTGCGTTCTCACGTTTTGTGTATCTTTCATCTGTTACATGTTAGTCCAGAAAATATATTATATACTTTCTGTGGCACAAGGTCTAAGTGTGTATTAGTGTGGAAATAGTATATGCAAGATTATATCTGAGCAGAAAATCATAGTTGTTCTTAAGAAAAGTCTTAGTAAAAATGCGTGTTAAACAAACGAGATTGCAATGAAAAAGTAGTCCATTAGACCTCTTTATATGTCTTTCACGGACTTGTTAGTTGGAAATAAATGGTTACTGATGACGATAAAAGTCGCTCTGTTGTTAGATTATCGAATCGCGTGACACGATTTGTTTCATTGCTGGAAAAGCTTTTATTTGCTACATATGACTTAGTATAATGTTATTTATTATATATGGCTTAATATATAACATCAAACTCATATATATATATAACTTACTCATCATATTTTTTTGCAAGGCCGCATGTAGCTCGATGTCTGCTATAGAAACGATTTTCTAGGTCAATTTTAGTCTCACCGATCATATCGTCTGTTCCGACTAAATCCCAATCTAATACTTGCACTGTGAGTAGAGAGTCCTGCGGAAATGTTGCTTCGATCTCGAAACATCTTGAACATAAATTTGCAATTAGATTCAAAATAAACAAGAGTAATAATGCATTAATTTTTGAGAATAAAAATAATAAGAAAAATTTTTGCAAAGTGCATCTTTCTTTAAGCATTCTTTTACATAATTATATTTGAAGATAAAAAAATGTTTACATTATAAAACAAAAATTAAAAACAATTTTTAATCTGCTATACGTAGAATGCATAATAAAGTATGCATAATAAACATATAATTTATTAGAGAGAAGCCAAGATTCCAATAGAAAAATCATTTTCCCAAGAAGCCAAATTTTTATATTATCGAAATTTTTCTAATTGCGAACAACTGTACTATTATTATAATATTACGGTACACGAAATATGTACTTTCCGAAGACAGGATTCAGTTGTTTCGACACGTAATTTTCTTTATCACTGATCCTCTTGCCTCCCAATTGTAAGACCACGTAAGGATCCGCTTTCCCGTTCAAATCGCAAGGATGAAGATCATTAGCTTTAACGATATACACCCGTACTAGAACGTGAATAGGTTCGTTCGACGGAACACCCTGGAAAAATCCGTATTGCGGATCAAAACCCATCACAGTATAATCTATCAGATCCTTAGGTAGTGGCCACTTGTAGACTTTCAATGCGCCTTTAAAATTGCCGACAATTCTCGATTCGTCTTCGGTCTCGTCGCCGGTTTTTTTTCCTCGATACAACTCGAAAGTGTGCAACCATTCTTTAAACTGCTCGAACTCGGGTTGCGCCTCCAGCTCTCCAGGATATATCTTTAATAAGGCGGTCTTATTATACTTGCGTTGGATTTGCTTCGGACTGAGCCTCGAGACAAATTTCACGGCGTTTGTTGGTGACTTTAGGCCGAACAATTTCTTCGTGGGATTAATTCCGGGATTCTTGTCGGAAGCTAACTGGTTTTGCGTGACAGCTTCATCCAGTAGCATCGGTAAAGTTCCATTCGGCTGATTCTGGAATATAGATTTTTCCTTGCGTAATTCTTTGTTCTCCTCGATCATCGCTTCCACAGATGCAAAATATTTTGTCCACCAATCTTGGCAGCCATCTTCATCTTCTAATACGCCTAAATCACCTAAAAATATAATATTTCAAAAATTTGCTTTACATGTCGTATATTATTTATATTTAGATAATTAATAAAAAATATATATGTTAATATAAAGACAAACAAATTATTCATTATACAATACAATACAAGATATCCTTTCTAATATTTTATAAATTTTATTTTATAATTACATATAAATGCGCGTGTGATTTAAATACGTATAAATTTAAATAAATAAATAAACATATATATATATATATAATTAATTCATAATTTAAATAGTTTCTATTAGTTGAAGCCATAAATTATATATGTTTTTTTAGCTATGTGTTTCTTTTGCTATTTTACGACATTACCATTATTATTATCTTACATAATGTTAAACAAATGTTAAACACATATTTTAACTATGTGAATATCTTTATTTTAATTAATTAAGTATACCTGTCCTTCGTAATTAAATAATTACTTAAATGTTATTTTCACAAACGTACTCATATTGTTGTCATTAGCCAAGCTTTGCTTTCTACGTAGATTTTGTTCCGTTTTGTCTTTTTTTGTAGGACCACTTCCTAAGTCGAATCCGAGAGTGATGATAGTGTCTCCGTTATTAGCTTCCAAGTCAGTCATTGATTCGAGCAATGGCATTTGTTGGTATTTCGTTTTAGATGGCTCAACGGCTGCAATAGAAAATCTTGAAAGCGTTAGAAAAATATACACATTTTATTTTTAGCAAATTAACATTCAGTTTAATTAATAATTTCTTTGTAAAATTCAAAAAGGTTTATAATAAGCATTACAATTTATTATTTATTATTAAAGCAAAACATTATTTTCTTTTATTATAATTAAAATAATTATTCACCATATTCTTTAGTAATATAAAATTATGTTGCTGTTATTTTAATAAAATTTAATTATAGTATATTTATTTAAATTGCATTTGTATTATTACACCTTCTATTTATTTCAAAAACGCTATTTGTATCACAATTACAGTTTCAAAGCGTTTCGCAATTAATCAACGATAATGTAATTACCCGTGCACTGTAACTGATATAAACTCTTCTTCCTCTCCTGAGCGTCCTTTGCCCTTTTGGTCAAAGGGTAGTACATGTACTTGTGAATTGAATTGATGGTGTGAGTACCGACGAGGGTATATCTACCGAAACTCCGACAGTCCACTGCTCTTATCGTCAATGGCGGTCGATATAGCTCTTGTTCAGGAAGTTCCAATTCCAGGAATTTGATCGGCGTATTGAAATTCGGATTTTTCTTCGCATTTGCTATGACAGACGAATAGAGAATGTGGCCGGCGCATTCAACATCCACGCGAGGCTTGTCGACGGTTAGTAGATGGATCCTCTTCAGATCCCGCAAACCCCAGAAGAGTACCTCAATTCTAAAAGCCAATTAGTAGTTAGAATTAATAATCATTCTAATAATTCTATTGTAATAATAAATTCATTCTTCTAACATGTCTTTTCCTTATTTGCAATATGCATTTATGAAACTTTTGATAGATTTCTTAACAAACTAAAAATTGATAAAAAAATTGATTTTATTAATGACAAATAATTTTAAATAAATTGTTTCAAATTGTCTATAATTATTTAAAAATAATTTATTAAGAAAGTATCAAAGTTTTAAAAAAACACATAATATTAACGTAATTAATTACTTATAACAATTCATTTAAATATAATTATATAATTATTAATGTATTGTTCTAAAAGCTTTATTTAAAATGTAAAGAATAAAAAAAAATAATAAAAATCTTTCAATTAATATGAATAAACGACAGTGAAAAATTAATAATGTTACCGATATTTTGATAAAGTAGGTCGAATTCCCACGGGTACAGGAAGAATCGGGCCTTGATCTTGACCGGAACCTGGAGCCTGAGATCCGGAGCTGGGATCTTTGGGATCTGGCAAAGTAGGAAATCCATAATCTTTGGTAGAGGGGTATTCCAACAATTCGAAAACCGCTAGAAGTTCGCCAGCCCTCGAGGCACCTCTGGTGACATCATACCATTCCAAGGACGGTGGATATTGCGGAGGAGTGTAAGACTCGGAGGCAAGTTTGACGTGAGGTCGCGCAATTGCTCGTCCGATATATTCCGACTTTCCCTGAAATCGTAAAGAGAAATTTTAATGTGTTCGAATAAGGGTGTCATTTATCGACCATGTGATTATGAAAAAGCGAGGAAACTGTGAAGGGGAACATTTATTATCTAAATTCAATAGATTCAAATTAACTCGTGATTATACGTAATGGGCACTGTGAAGAAGTGCAAAGGGGTGAAATCTGAAATTTATAATAGAGGGAATAGATTTATATTGATTTAATCTCTTCAAACTAAGTTAATCAAAATAAAAATAATAAAATTATTGAGGTGTTGAATTCACTTCTTTGTATCATTCTTATTTGTATTATTTCCAATTCATATCATTCATAATAAATAATTAATTAATAAATAATTAATTAAAAAATTATAATTTATTATTTACTGATTCATACATATTTATAATAAAATTTATATAAGGTAATAGCATTAAAATATCTTTTATATTTACATTACTTAAAAAATTATTTTTATTTTATGTATTCATTATAAATTTAGATTATGTAAATTACATAGTAATTATTATTAAAAACATTTTTATAAAACAGAAAAAGATTTTAGAAAACAATTAATTGTAAAATATTAAATATAATGCTTGCACGGTTACTACTTTTAAAAAAGTTAACATGTTTGTTCTCGATGTTAAATTAACAATGTATGATAATATGGATAATATCCGTAAAACATATTAAGTATAAATTTTTTAATAAATGTTTTAAATAAATAAATATTTTTAGATGTTTTTTTGAAAAATTTATGTCATTATTAAGAAAATTTTTATCAATATCTATATTTTCGTTCCAAAAAAAACGTAACTTTCCTCAATATACTTCGTCATGGAAATGCTAGTTTTAATAAACAGATATGTATCTATTTATCACAATAGCATGAAACCGAGTAAGGTAAAGGGAACCAAGTCCTATGCAAAAGTCATTTGCGGTTGTGCGGTTGTGTGGATAGATGTGACTCTTCGTTGACTATCACAGCAATTTCACGACTTGGAAACTTGCAGTCTTCGAAATTCCGAGTTCGTGATATTCGCGCAAGTTCGCCTAACACACAAATAACGAGTGCCATGCCGAATATATGTTACGTGTTTCCAGTGCGATTGTCGTGTGTAATGTGCGTTGTGTTATTCGGTATCGTATAAATGTCAATATGTTTTATACAAACTGTTAAAGCAGAGCCCTTCTCATGCAGTGTTATGTCCATAGCTACAATATGACTCTGTAAAAGAATGATTATAAAATCATAGAAGCGATAATTCTTCCTAATAATGTTTCGCGTGTGTGCGTCATCGTAATTCTAATCAAATTAAATTTGAACTGAATATGAAACTAGATATATATTTTTCATCGATTTATATTACACATTTTCGAGTAATTTTGGATTTTGGGGTATTGGCCGCACTTAAAATTAAAAAAAAAAAGAATAATGCATTTAAAAAAATTTACTAAGGATTGTTTTTTCGTTATTTTGAATGTCCAGATAATTTTTAACACATAGATAAATTTTATTTGAGAAATAAAATAAAGAAATACACAAATATTTATAGAAAGAGAAAAATAAAGATATATATAATTGAATTGAGAAGTATTTGACTTACCACTTTATCCTGATCAAACAATTCGATGACGATGGAGGGTGGATCCTTCTTGATCTCTTCTGCGGTTCCGTAGATTAGGATGTCATCGAACAGCAGCAGCTCGTCCCATGTTGGGCTGAGGGTCTCGTCGATCACCTGAGTGCACTTGCAAAATTCACCGCAAATCACTCTTGCAAACGGATCGGAGAGACCGGATGCATCGCTGCCGATCAGTGATCTCGCTTGATACATGTGGGCTCTCAATTGAAATTTCTGGTGATCAATTCGGAAACGGACACGGTTATGCATTTATTCATCGAGTGTTGCGCGGTTCGAAGAAATACATACGTGCTTCTGAACGTAGTGAATTACGGTGGGCGGCAAAGCTCGAGGTCTATCCACGTTTCTCAGCTCGTGGCTGACCTCGTATCCTTTTGGTAAACCTTGGATGAAGTACTTTTTGTGCTTCAATATTCCCAGCCACATATATATTTGTAATTTTGTTTGGATTGCCCATCCCGCCGGTCCGAATCTCTTTTTGCCTGGGAGCTATGCGCGAATTTCATTCATTATAAAAATAGCATAAAATTAAATGTTAACATTTATGCTCTAGAAATCTTTTTCGTTTTATTTATGCGCATTAAATTTTCTAGAAAAAAGTAGATTGCAACATCAAAAAAGATAAATAGTAATAATTAAAATATTAATATATAAATTGTATATAAACATTTCTATTATAATTTTGCAGGCAATTTTTTAAATAGAAAATAATATTATAAGTTAAAAATTGTATTTTTCTTGACAATGAGTTTTAATAAATTTTTGACATTACATTAAATTGTACAAAAGACGAAGCTTTATCTTCACTTCTTTCATTACTTACCTTCAGGAACATAGTCTGCACTTTTCCGCAATGTCGGCCGCATTCTTCATCAACCACCGAGTAGATTAGTTCACGACCCGGTATCCTCTGGTATGCCACTCGTCTTCCTGAGCTGATCACCCAGATAAACACATCTGGCAGAGAGTCTTGCGGCTACAAAAAAATCAAGTAATTTCAGTAATTTTAGGAAGAACGTTTTATAATAGCAGCAGCATTTAAATAAAAACTACTGACATCCTCGACGAGAAATTTTAATTTTTGTAGATAGCTGTGGGCTGTCTTCAGTCTTTCCTTGAAACTGCTTTTAGTCACGAGAGCCTTCAGATTGCGTGACATAATCCCGATATTTTCCAGTTCCCGCTGGCACAATTTCGTTCGCTCTTTGTCCAGCTTCGTTTTCCCAACGCCCGGACCGGTTACACTAGACTTGCTAATACTGACATACCGATTACAATTCGCGCTTAGTTCTTCGAGAGTGGACTTTAAAAGCTTTTCACTCGTCGAATCCTCTAAATGCGATTGTACCTCTGACAATCCTTCCTCCTACAGGGAAATACAAAGAAACGACGTTATCGATTTTATGTAAATCTATTAAACTATCGTCGTGACTGTTCAAATAGCATCCATTTCTTTCCTTTAAAAATCTGGCTCTCTTGAGAAAATAAAGATATCCGATTTTCCGAATTGATAAACGCATTGCTCGAATAACTCTGATAAAATAACATTGAACATTTGAAAATTAGCGTATAAATAATTAACAGTTGATTTCATAAAAATTTGAGGATAAAATATAATGCAGTTTTATCATTTTGTAAAAATTATCAATTTTTACATATCAAGTTTAATCAAGAGCTCAATTAATACTTATTATCTTTAATAATTAATTTTAGTTAACTCGCGACCAGAATGGGGGTGTTCTCGAGACTTGGAATAATTGTAATTAATTATCTCGAAATTGCAAACTAACCAGTTTATCGACAATTTTGCCAATAATGTTGCTGTTATACATCCTACGTCTGTAATCCGGCCATATGCTTCTCACATGAAGACATGGCTTGTCGTCCCAGTATGGTAGGAAATAATAAATCTTATCGTGTGTCATTGGCTTACTAGCTGGTGTGGTACTCTGCCAAGATCCGGTGAGGATTTCCTGCAGGTCTTCCTCCTCCCCGCTCGTCTCACCCTTCGATCCTGTATCGTACATCTGTAACAAGCAGATTTAACTTTTCTTCAAACGAAATTGATATCTTTACAAAATCCTCATCTACTTTTTTTCTCTTTTTAATAAAAACATTTTTAGAGATAAAACAGATTAAGATAAGTTCGTTTTTTTTTGAGTAAATTTTTAAGCTTAGTTTTCTAAGAGTTAATCGCGTAAAAACCTTGAAACTTTCGTTGTGACCGTCGAGAGCGTTGCCCGCATTTCCGATCGATATTTCAAAGTACATCGGCTTATCGCCAAGTTTCTTGTCGATCATCGTGGCGTCCATGATTGTGGCATACAAAAAGAACTCTTCGTTCCTTGCGTAGGCGGTTTCATTAATCGGAACTGTCGGTTCTACTTCAACTTCCGACGGTGCTATTTCCACGTTGTCAGTGATCTCGGTTCGTATCGCTATTAATAGTCTAAATGAAAACAATAATCAAAAAAACAGAAAATGTAAGTTCTAACTCAGCATCGCGTTTTACATTAATTTTTTTTATCTCCATTTAATTTTATAATATAATTTAATTAGACCCAATTTTTTGTAATTAATACTTAATCAGTTATTAAATATGCAAAATGCACAAAGAAACATAAAATATAAATTGTAACTCAGCATCGCGTTCTACATAAATTTTTTCATTTCATTCTATTCCTTATTTTAATTAAATCTTATTTTATTCTTTATTTTAATTAACTTTATTTTAATTAAATCCAACTTTTGGTACTTAATACTTAATTAATTATTAAATGCATGAAATTTATTAAAGAAATTCAAGTTATTTATGTAATAATTATTTATGTAATAATATTTGTAACGTATAACTATAACTACGTTTCATTTTATAAAATATGCAACCTAGCCCTATATGAAATTCCTTCGCCCAAGCCGGTGTTTAACGTTGAATGCTCGTCTATGAGACTGTAATCTCTGATGCTGCCGTAAAGATGGATAAACGCCGGACCAAAGGTCGGCAAGAAACCCTTTTCGCCGTCGTTGCTGATCTGCTTCAGATCGACGAAGTGTGTACCGATGACGGTGGCGTGCACCGGGTCGTTATCGCATAATTGTATCTTTATCCTCTGACAAAGGGGAGGAAACATCTCGGTGAAAATTATCTGCTCGTTCCACACTGGAGCGTAGCTATGCCTCTTCACGCTTGTTTTCCCCTGGAGGCCCATAAAATAGAAAGATAGTGAATTGCCTCTGATATCTAGTGCACTCCATTTAACATCGTTACATCTCAAACAGATGTAACACGCGGAAATAAATCGTTGCCAATTTTTAACTTTTAACGAGACTGATTTTGTGTTGCAATGGAACATGGATTTTTTTACGTAACTTTCATCGTTATATCATATACCAATCCTTGTATAACAAATCGAAAACGCAACTGACGCAACATTTTTTTTTTTTACAGTAAAATATTATTTTACAATGTAATCAATCACATTTATTATAAGAATGTATGGAGCTTACGCTGAGCCCGGCAAATGATACTTGAACGTATGGATCCACAAGATCCTTCACTTCCCCCGTGAAAGCCTTCTTTACATTCGCCATGATACTGCTGTTCATTTTCGGCAAACCATCGGCTCTATAAACTTTCACCACGAATCTCGCGCGCTGCCTCTCGATTGGCACACCATCTGGCAATAAGAGATTGCCTTCGATGTCATCCTCGTCTTTTTCACTTTTTGGAGGAATCTTCACGGTATCGCCTTTGCCAATAACGCTTATGTCACACTTCAGATAACCTTTGGGTCCACCAGCAACATCATCCGGATCGGTGAGTAGGGCCCATTTGTGGTAGAATTGATGGTCTAAGAATAAATTTCATCGACATTGATTTAAGATACGCAAATGATTTGACTAAAAAAAAAAGAACTTACAATTAACTCGAGGAGAGTTTACCATATACATTTCACCACATACACACACACACACACACACACACACACACACACACACACACACATATGTGTATATATATATATATATATATATATATATATATATATATATATATATATAATATTGTTTACAATATATTATAGTATTCTGCTCTTTAAAAGGCAATTACGTGACATAATCAAGGTACATTTTTTAAACTAATCGATAGGAGAATATATTATCTTAATAGAAATATTATACAACAATAAAACAAATACTGAAATCAAATTTAATCTAAAAAAAAAAATAAAATCTTATTGTTAAAATATTTAATATTAAAAATTGTAATAAAAGATAATGCCATTTCAACAAGTGTTTAAACAAATTGATTCTTTAGAAACACACTCTAATAATGAGCAAATTAAAAAATGTATTTAGAATCTTAGTTTATAGTATTTTTGTCAAGGCAGACGTCACGTGGAATTCAATACAAACATAGTCGGAAGACCGAAAAGAATTGATGTGAGTAATTGGAGCGGAAGTTCACAAGCGATTTATTAGCTCGATATGATCGTATAAAAGCGACTATAAAATTTTTAACTGTGCCATACGATAGTTTAACGTGTGCGAGAACGTGTGGTTCGGGATTAACTTTAGCGTATACATTTACGGAATGTACATGCGTAAGATAACATCCATATACGTGGAGATGAAAAGCCTAGCATGCGAACGATTCGCAATAAAACACAGAGCCTTTGCTCTCGTAACGAATTGTCGGATGTAATAAATGATGATTGATATTTTGCCAACACTTCGCAGTTTTTCCTAACAATTCCCGTTGAAGCGTTGAATTACGATGACACTGCAGGATTTCAATGCTAGAAAATACGTTTCAGAAAAATGTATGTTTGAATTGACAGACCAAACCTTTCTGCAATCCGTGAAAAATGATAAAAACCATTTCCATTTTAAGATAAATTATTCCATTTGCGAATGGGCGTGTTTGCTAATTACTCATTACTATGCATAAGAGCGCTCTGACTTTCTAGACGCCATTGCGCAATGAAAATAAGATATGTTAAGAGCAGCGTACAATCGTTAAAAT